GGGAGCACATCCCCCATTCACGCAGATGCACCAGATCGAATTGCAAAAGCGACTGACGCCTGTAAATCCGCTTCATCTCTTTCATGAACCCGAAACGACATGATTACTCAGCATAACATGTCTGCAGCCTACATCACGTGGAAATAAGTCAATCTGTATCTGTGTCTGTCCCATTGAGAACCACACCTCCCACTGGGTATTGGGGTAAATATTTCAATGAAGCTTATTGACATGACTCATCCACAATAGATTTGCTAGGCGAATTAAAAACCGCTGAAAAGAGAAAAATGTTTTTTAAGTCAAATGTTTATGGTGATTTTGAGCGGTGTCTCTCAGCACAGTTAACTCTAAGAACCAGTTAACTATTTTAGAGTTTTATCGTGGACCAGTTAAGTTACTACTTTGGATTAGTGGCATAAACTTTGCAAATACAAAATTGTGGAACTCAAATAGTTTTTTGATCAGTTTATTTCCAGTCATTACATCATCTACACTGAAGATAATACTCTATATTCGAAAGATTGACAAATATAGTGTTTGAGGCATGCCACCGGTCCAAGGACCGAAAAATAATTTTCATAAGCCGGCGGAAGAGAAACGAAATGAATCTGGCTTTGCATATTTATTTTCCCGATCATTGCTTATCAACAAAAATTAGCCCCTTTCCATTTTAATTTTTAAATTCATGTGAAAGATTCTTTTACTTCTGATATTAGCACAGTATGTACTTAAATCTACCTCTCAAAATTTTGGAAAACAATTGAGCAATGAGAATTATTTTTATGTCTCGAAGACTTCTTAAGAAAAAAAGTTTTTCTTGACGATTACCATTCTTTGAATTTTTTTTTCTGTTGGTCAATGGTAAGATTAAATTTTTAAAGATATTTATTCACAAATAATTAATAAATGCCCTCTCTTGGAAAATGAATTACATTTAGTTGCCGCAACAATAATAGGTTGTGGCTCCTTCATTGCTTTTTAATCTCATTCATTTTAGCACTGCGCTTTGTTTATTTAGAAAAAAAAAAATATACAGCTTCTTAGAATCTGTCTCCCAGAGTACATGAAAAATAAAAATCCGAATTTAAAAGAAAAAAATTACTATTCCAGAATAGTAATTGCTTATAAAATCATTACTTTAATTAATTTTTCACCTTCGAATATTATTCAAGAAGAAAATAATCAATCAATAAAATAATTATCGAGTTTGCGAGCATATACTTAAACGCGAATTGTATATGTACACAACAAAATTTACAATATTGTAGTAATAATTTTATAGTTATTTTAATTTTTAAAATTAAGAGAAATTTTCACAAGCTTACACATTTATTTATGCCAGGATAAATTATAATTTAAACACTTGTTAGCACTTTTATTTGGTCTGAGGAGACATTTTTAAGTCTTTGTTCTTAATTCGGGAAATCATAAATTTATTAATATCAAAGTAAAAAGAACACAATTGATCTGTATTCAGTTATTATGTGTTGTGTTTTTACCTTAATAAAAATTATCATCGCCTTTCGAGAAAATTATTTCAAAAAAAAAATATTTTCCAATATTTAATTTTAATGTATTTACAGTTTTGTGTGTGATACATATTGAAAATATCTTACTTTACTTACATGTATCACCATATGAATTTGTAGTACTGATACTAGTAAGCGTATTCAGAAAATAATCGAGAGGCAAATTCGTTCTAATAGAAGAGTGTAGAGCATTCTAGAAGCAGAGTTTCCTATTTATGTTAACATCATAAGATGCGTATGGACCACGAGAACAGGCTTTGGGTTAATATTTCGAAACTAAAATACTTTTCCATAAGAAAAACATGAAAAGATGGGAAAAACTTTTTAACATCTTAAAATTTTAGGTCAGAATCTCTAATGTGTCGAAATCATTTCCTTTAAAAACGATTATTTGCAATCACAATAAGTCGATGTATATCAAATACTAGCCGTTACCCGCCCGCTTCGCTGGGTATTTCATGATGTTTTATAAATTTTTACTGATTATATGTATGTATAAATTATTGATATCTAAGTCCTAACATTAAGAATTCGATTAAATTGAAAAATATACTTATACCTGAAAATGTCACCTGTTGATAAAAAAAAAAAGGCAGAGCTCATCTAATTTGTATTTTCTAAAAAATCTCTAAAATTGAAGTATAGAATGATGTTTGCTCTTTCGTAACTCAAAAACCAAGTGGATTCCTCTACTCCGTAAATTGAACATGCAAGCCAAATTTCAAGTCTAAATCTAACAGAAAAAAAACAAAAGTTTTACTATCAATATCCCCGTAATCCCGTTGAGAGCCGTTTTCCAAAATTACCGCTCTTAGAGGATTTCAATTCAACAAAAGAAAAATGCAAACCAAATTTCATTATTATAGTCCTTGTAGCTCGAAAAAAGTAATTTTTTTGTCAATACGTCCCAGTAACCCCCTGCAAACCCCCAGAACTTGATTTGCTTAAAATTTATTCTTAGTGGATCCCTATTCAACAAAAGAAACATGCTTAACAAATTTCAAGCATTGGGTCTAACAATTAAAAACAGGAATTTTTTTCTGTAACTCCTCTTGATCCCTCGCAAACATCCTTGAGGGTCAAATTTCGTTTTACTCTTTGTTAGAGGAACTCTATTCCATGAAAGGAACATGCCTACCAATTTTCAAGCAGGATGATCAAATAGTTTAAAAATGGAAATATTTATCGATTACGCCTCTTAATCTATCGAAATTAAACTTGGTAGTTGATATTCGCGAAACCTATTTTGTAACGGTTCTCTACTTTACGAAAGGAATCTGCTTATCAAATTTCAAGACTGTACGTCTAACAGTTTAAAAATGGGGATAATTGTCTATAACGCCACTTGAGCTCTCGCAACGCCACTTCTGGGTCTGTTTTCACAAAACCCATTTTGTAGCGGAATTGCACTCTATGAAAGGAATCTGCTTAGCAAAATTTGAAGACTGTGCGTAAAATTAATTAAAAATGCAAAAAAATTATCAATAACGCCCCTTGAACCCCCGCAACGCCACCTAGGGGTCGATTTTCCCAAAACACATTTTGTAGTGTATTTCTATCCTATGAGAGGAATCTGCTAACCAAATAGTTTTAAAATAGAAATAATTATTTACAACACCCGCAACACCCCTTGGGGGTCAATTTTCTCCAAACCCGTTTTGTAGCGGATATTTACTCCATGAAAAAAACATTACTACTAATTTTCAAGCAGGTAGGTCAAGTAGTTTAAAAACTAAAATATTTATTTATTACGCCACTTAATCCCCTGCAACGCCACTTAGAGGTCTATTTTCAAAAAACCTTCTTATAACTGATCTCTACTTTATGAGAGAAATGTATTTATCAAATATAAAGACTGCGTCAAATAGTTAAAAATGGAAATAATTATCTATAACGCCCCTTAAGTCCCGCAACGCCACTTGGGGGCAATTTTCACGAAACCCATTTTGTAGCGTATTTCTACCCTATGAATAGGAATCTGCTTACTAAGTTTCAAGACTGTACGTCTAGTAACTTAAAAATCGGAATTTATAACGCCCCTTAAACCCCCCGCCCCCGCAACACCTCTTGGGGGGTCAATTTTCCCAAAACCCATTTTGTAGCGGATATTTACTCCAGGAAAGATACTTACCTAACAATTTTCAAGCAGGTAGGTGAAGTAGTTTAAAAACGGATATATTTATCTATTACGCCCCTTAATCCCCCGCAACGCCACTTAGAAGTCTGTTTTCACAAAACCCGTTTTGTAACTGATCATTATTCTACGAAAGGAATCTGTTTATATCAAATTTAAAGACAGTGCGTCAAATAGTTTAAAAATGGAAATAATTATCTATAACGCCCCCTAAGCCCTTGAAATGCCACTTGGGGGGCAATTTTCACAAAACTCATTTTGTAGCGGATCTCTACTCTCTGAAAGGAATCTGCTTACCCAATTTCAAGATTGTACATCAAGTAGTTTAAACATGGAAACAATTATTTTAACGCCCCTTAACCCCCCGTAACGCCCCTTGCGTTTCGAATTTCGGAAAATCCTTTCTTAGCTGATGTCTACTCTATGAAAGGAACATGTCTACGAAATTTCAAGTCTGTAGGTTGAATAGTTCCAGAGATATCGTGATTAGTCAGTCAGTCAGTCAGTCAGTGAGTGAGTCGCTTTTCTCCTTTATATATATAGATTAACTTCACACACGAATTCCATTGAAATTTGAAAATTCTTATTAAATAATTTCAAAACTACACATGCACAAAGCAAAACTACAAATTTTATATCAAAACTACACACACAAAACTTATTTTTTATATAGGAAGTTTATATCATGGCACACACAGAAATTTTTCAAGGGGGGGGGGGTCGAGGATAGAAAAAGTTCGTCCCTCTCGTATCATATGTAACCTCGATGCTAGAACGTATCTGTAATCTTTATGCTGAAAATCTTTTGGTACATGGGGGAGGTTTAAACTCCCAAACCTCGCCCTTGGTTACGCGACTAATTAGTAGAATGCGTAACCGTTCAATCTCAGCGAACAGAATAAGAACATTGCGTGTCATAAAAAATTCAACTTCGATGGTTAGCTTTAACACACCCATCCTTGAACCTCATCCTGACTGACTGTCGCAAAAAAGTTCTTTCCGTCCAAAGCAGCTATATTTAAACAAGTAATATTAAAAAGAAATGAAGTCAATTCCTACTTAGGTCAACAAAGAAAATTATATATATATATATATATATATATATATAATATATATATATATATATATATATATATTAGTGTTACTTTTTATTAAATACTTACGATTAATATAAATATGTATATACATAGGACAGAATCACAATATTAAGTGACAAAATAGAAAGCGATTTTTCTTGGACTATTTTGTTCTGTTTGTTACTTTTATTCATTAATTAAATTTAATTATTCTAATAAAATAGTATAGCAAAAAAGAAATCGCATTCTCAGAAATTAGGCCATCCCAGGAGAGATTCGAACTCATGATCTTTGGGTTACAAGTCCAACGCGCTATCCATTGCGCTACAGGGATACCACGAACGATTTTCCTTTCTATATATGCTGTTGGACTATTGTTTTTGTGTTTGTTACTATTTATTCATTTTTTAATTTAATTAATGAATGAATATTTGAAAAAGCTGTATTAGAATCAAATGTTATCCCCTACAGGTTTAAGAAAATGTATTTGAACTTGAATGGATGAATAGAAAGTATTTTATTAACGATTGAAAATACGAACTATATATATATATATATATATATATATATATATATAGAAAAAGAGTGAACTAATAGAAAGAATTGAAAATAAAAAGAAACGAGCCTTACAGTAGTCGCATACGATGTGTAACATCTGAAATGTTATGGTGGTAAATTCGCAATAGCAAAATTAAATCCTAAAAAAAATTTATCGAGTTTGATTGGAAATAATTTTCTGTGGAATAATTATACCTTTAAAGAAAATTTTATTTTAGTAACACAAGGAGTAATGCAGTTTTTTATCAAAAATAATTATTCTTGTTCAATTTGGGGAAGAGCGGTAATGATAACTTATGATAACTAAAATATGACAGATATACTTGTGATTTCAAAGTATTTAAAAACCGTTGAAAAATAGCGTCAATAACAGTACCACTGTTAGTTGTCGAAACATTTCGATTTGTGTTCACTTCGAGCTTGAGCTCATCATTCAAAAAAGCTATGAGTGGCTCGGCTTCTAGCAAACTGAAATTAAAATTAAAATCACCACTCAAAATCATGGAAAGCGAGTGATATTTTTTTTAAAAGAGCAAAACCACCTTCGGTATATGGTAAAAGTAAAAAATGCAGGAAATCCTTAATTTTTTGAACCGTTTGATTCGGAGAAATGTATACAACCACCGAAATCACTGTTTGTCCATTTTTAAATAAGCATTCTGCAGCACATATATCCCCAATATCTTGAATAACAATACCCAATCCACTTTTTTGACGATAAGTAATATCCGTATGAGGACCCACAACATATGAGTTGTTCTGTTTGCGATAGATCGCAACACCAGCTGCTCTGTGGCCCGGTCGTTTAAATTGTACGCAGCAATCGAAGTCAGGTATCGAATCACGTTCGTTATTATCTAACTACACCTGTTTTCTACCTCACGAACAATTTTGTGAAATAACGTCGAAATCTGTTTGGTGAACCCTCAGACTTTGACAATTGAGCGTAAGGAACGCAAGTTTATCCTTGGTGAAGTCTAATAAGACTTGCTGGTATGTGCGGATTTAGAGTCAAGCGCAAGCAAAACAGAGTTTTTGAATTAGAATATTCTGAAATGTTAAATTTAACAATATAGAAAAAGGCTGGCGGCTTGATGGCTACTAGAGTTGGACCCCAAGGGGATATATCTTTACAAGATCCAGATAAAGGACTGGTGGCGTGGCAGGAGCGGACACATAACATTTCGTGGGCTGAGCGGACACTTTGAAACTCATCGTGGTTTGAGCGGACACATTTCCCCCCCATCTTAGAACAGATTTGATTGCCGAATTACAAGGATAAATACATTTTTGTCAATCAAATTTAACTACTTGTATTAAATTGTTAAGATGTTATAATGCGAATACATTTTAAAATAGCGAAATGTAATAGAAATAAAAACTTGAAAAACATGAAAGGAAGTAAAAATAAATACTAGAAGTAAAATACGCAAAATGCAAGTAGATAAAAGAAAAATAAATACAAGTAAATAAATACTAACTAACCTTGCATCTTGCGTATTTTACTTCTAGTATTTATTTTTACTTCCTTTCACGAAACTAATCAATTGTATGGCTATTTCACTCGTTCTAATATTTATTTGACTCTAAAATACAGTTTTCCACAAAATTCCTGAAATTCGTTCATATCTTTCATTATATTGTTACTTACTATTAATTTTTAAACATTTCTCTGAAAGTTTTTATTTCTATTACATTTCGCTATGTTTAAAATGTATTCGCACTCTAACATCTTAACAATTTAATACAAGTATTAAATTTGATTGGCAAAAATGTATTTATCCTTGTAATTCAGTAATCGAATCTGTTCTAAGATGGGGCCCCATCTTAGAACATCCGTTCAAACCACGATGAGTTTCAAAGTGTCCACTCCTGCCACGCAACTAAAGGACTCTGATCCTAAAGTAAGAAAAAAACAAAGATCCCAAGACCGCAGGGGTGCGAATCCCTTCCGAATGTTGGAGAAAAAACAAAAGAGACACCACCAAGCGCGCTGGTTGGTCAAATTAAATAGCATGCGCTTCCCCAACTTCCTGTTACGCATTTTCGTCCCTTTTCACGAAATTACTCCCACAAATCTCCAACAATCGAGAGGAAAGATGTTACACATAAATAAAAGTAATTGGTAAGCTGCCGGGAAGATGGGAAAAGGTCTTACGTAATAGTGGTATTGTTGTTTCTTATCCCTCTTAATCGACAGAAACATCAAGTCCAAGAACTCACGCGTTTTCAAACAATGAAGAACTGTAGCAGGACTATAGAGAGCAGCTGGCTCTTGTGGCTACCAATACAAGCCAAGATGCGGGCAAGAACATTGCATATGCAGGAGCATGACGTAATAGAGGTAAATGCATAAATTAATATAATTTCGTTACTTAATGAAAGCAAAATAACTGTCTGATAAGGAAAATGGAAGTTATTCACGACTCTATCTCTCTCTTAACCTAACAAATGCATCGTTACTAAAGAAATATATTACATCAAAATCCTTCTGATCGTATCTCCTAGCTGCGTATAATGATAAGCTTCTGAATCCTTTCTGCCAGCAGAGTGAACATTTTACAAGTTTCAGGCAATATATAACTATAGTTACTGAGCTGCGTTTAAAACAGATTCTAAACATTTGCATAAAGACGAAAGACATTCATTCAAAAAAAAAATTCATCAGGTATCATATTTAACAGTCAAGGTTTCGAATAGAGTAGTAAAAATAAGTATTTTCCTGAAATATTAAATTTATTCCTCATAAAAATAGGTAGAGGAAAATTACAATTCATAAATAATTATTCTGACGTTAAAAATCATCAGTAACCTATTTTAGTTGTACTTCCCAGACAAATAATTTTAAACTTGTGTATGCTAATATGGATAATTTATGCAATGAATTTATTTTCCTAACAACAAAGGAAAAGCTGGTAACAACGAAATTCAGCTAAAATCACGAAGGAAAAAAAAAACAGAATTTGAGCAACACGTGCAGAGTGTAAGTTCGAGAAGAAACTGAATTTTTTGATTTTGGCGGGAAGTAAAATCTATAAAAGGAAGAAATAAATGTATAATTTGAAGAATTTTTACTTAAGATCTAAGTGTTTTTAAAAGAGTCTTAAAAGAAAAACGAGCGTTAACTTGTATTAGATTGATGCATGAATTATTAAAAATTCTCATCGATTTTAATTTAAATTCTTGCCAATACTTCGTGTACAAAAATTGTTACTTTTTAAGCAAATACCAAATAAGTATTGATTTTATTTATTTATTAAATCAATTTTGTAATCTTTCATACATTTCTGCAATTTTAGGATGGAAAAAATTTTAGCCATTTAAATTCTATACTATTTATTTGCGTTGATTTTAACAGGGCCATTTTCTTTAACATTACGAAAAAATAAACACTTGCTGCGATTTTTAATCTCAAATTAATTTATATATAAAGTCATATTGTCGTAGCCTATCACTACCTCTAAGATTATCAACTCCCCTTCGGTTATCACCTGAATTTAGATGTGTTCAATTCATAATAAATTACTACTTATTTAATAAATCAATCTTATTTATTGACTTTTCTTAATTGAGAGATTACACAAATACTATTCAAATTTTAAGAACAATAAAACACAGTGGAGTATGAGAAGGATTCAATAATCATGAACGACGGAATCTTAACTGAATCTACGGCGGTCGACGCGTACAATTAAGCTACAAACTTATACTTAATTTGGGAAATCAAATTAACCTGATACCTTTTGTTATGGCAGGTTCGTCTAGCTACTTCTTCAATATCTGGATTCCTTTAATGGGCGGCTTCAATCTCAACTATCTCTCAGTTCTTTCCCGAACTGATTTTATCTATACTTTACAATAAACTTTTCTCACGACGACTATGTTTCCACTAGAAAAAGTACTCTCTCAATTCATTCCTTTCTCTTCATTTCATTTTCGAACTCGCTAAACCCGAACTTCTATAAAATTGGCTCCCGGTGGAGATTGGTTGAAATAAATAAAATATAGAATATTTGAGAAGGTTAGTGAAACGCGTAAGCACCCGTCACAATATATTACTAACAGTTTTACGTGATTGTATGATTATATCAGTCAATCTATACGTGCATAATTTTATCTGTTAAAAATTTTTATTCAATAAATAGCACATGTATTGTCTATTATATAAAATAATTAAAACATTACGTGTCAATTAAATTAAAATGCAGAAAAGTAAAGACAAACTATTCGGTAATTTGATTGGTAATAAAAATTGTTATCATTATATTCAAAATAAATATAACTTTTGGCAAAGAAAAAAATTGATAATAACAACTGTATAAAAAAAATTATACTTCAAATATGAAAAAATTAAGTGGAAGAATTAAAAAAAATATTACTCTGATAAATGCGACTTAAAATCCCAATACCAAATGCTATCTTGTACAAGCTCTGTACCACCTGAAACTGCCATTTAGGCGGAATCATTTTTTTTAAAAAATAATAATAATAAAGTTTTAAAGAACTTTAAATTCGGCTTTTTGGAAAAATACCGATATGCTTTATCACTTTTCTTTATTATTTTATTTTACCAATTACAAAGTGAGGTTGCAAAAATATCGATAATAAGAGCATGTTAATTACTCCTTGCTAAATTTAATATTTTTTTCATTAAAATTTAAAAATAATACTATCAGTTGAAGATAATTTTAGTTAACAATTTTTATTTTCTATTTTTTTGCACAGATATGGAAAAAATAATATCCCTTTGTACTGCGAACATTGTTGTGGGCAAAT